CAGGCAGGCAGGCAGGCAGGCACTTAGTTTTCCAGCTCCCTTGGGAACATTTCTGCTTTTGCAGAAACATTTGCAAATTTGTGTAAGTCATTTATTGGAACTCTCCAGACACTTTCCCCCTCCAAATAAATGTGTCCATCTAGAGATGGAGCCTTCTCACAGCATCCGTGCTTTGATCAGAGGCATCAAGATATTGGTAGCACACAACTCAACAGCTGGGAGCCTCGGTTTGAGACCTCCTGCCAACTTTTATAGCCTCAGCAATCTTGCATGATGTTATAACTCTATGCATTGGTAATTCCTTCTCCATCGTCCTACGCCATTAAAATAAGAACTGACTATAAAGATTAACTCTCTCTCTCGCTTTCTCCCTCTCAAAAGTTGACTTACTAAGACATATATAAATGTCCTATTACGTTTTAGAAGCTTCTTAAATTTTTCATTTTGTTCCTATGAGTTTATGTACCATTGTCAGTGTTTTATTGCCACTAATATATTTCTCTCTTTCTCTCTGGCTGTTCTTCTTTCATTCAGACATGAAGAAATCTATGAATTCCCACTTCGGTTTATTAGCTCCCCACATACTAAGTTGATGATTATCTGGAGTATTATTAAGTCTGAATAATCTCCGTTCATAAAGTACACAACCTTTCTTTTCTGACAATAACAAAGTATTTAATTTTCTCCGGCAAAGTTGCTCTTATTTATAACTGAACAAATTAAATATGCTATGTTAGAATCAAATTATACTAAGGAACTTTCAAAGGGGAGAAAAGGCCTAGGAAAACTGTTCTCACAGACTGAGTTTTCACACAAGACACTAAACCTTAATTTGGATGGTTTGGTTTGGTATTTACTTATTTATTTATCTATCCAATTTACCTTATTTTTGGGAGTATAAGACGCACCTTTCCTCTCCCCTAAAAGTGGGTGAAAATTTAGGTGCATCTTATACACTGAATGTAGCCCCGCCCACCCACTGGCCCCCACCCTTTGGCCTCTGCCTTCCAGCAGTTTACCTCCTTGCAGCAAACAGCAAGAAGAAACAGCTCGTTTCAGCTTCAGCACAGCCTAATTAGCACAGGTTGATTGGATCGGCCTCCCGACTCTCAGCTGATTTGCTCTCAGCTGTTTTGCGGGGGCCTCTGCTGCTTGCTGTAAGGAGGTAAATTGTTGGGAGCAGATTTTTTTTTCTTGTGCTAATCAAGCTATGCGGAAAACAAAAATGAAAGTAAAGCAGGCTATTTGCTGTTTGCTGCAGAGGCAGAGGCAGATTTCTTTTTCTTGTTTTCCTCACCAAAAAAGATAGGTGCGTCTTATAGTCTGGAGCGTCTTATATTCTGAAAAATATGGTATATGACCACCCATCTCAAGAAAAGTGACTTTGGGCAATTTACCATTTTTTCTATCTACTTCTGCTTTTTCTATTAATTCTCAGAATTTGCTTGCCACATATCTAAGGTGGTAGGCAGCGAACACCATCATTCTTTTAAACTCAATTTTATTTTTGAATTCCTGCATGGGATGGAAATTCTGTCTCCTTATTGTTTATCCTACCTTTAAAAAAAAAAAAAAATCCTAACAGTGCAATATGTTAATGTTGTTGTTTCCATTTTTGCCATTGACTGTTTCATGCCTATTATTAAAAAGAGGAGTAGGGGACTGGAAGCTAAAACATATGAAGAACGGTTGCAGGAACTGGGTATGTCTAGTTTAATGAAAAGAAGGACTAGGGGAGACATGATAGCAGTATTCCAATATCTCAGGGGCTTCCACAAAGACGAGGGAGTCAAGCTATTCTCCAAAGCACCTGAAGGCAGGACAAGAACCAATGGGTGGAAACTTATCAAAGAGGGAAGCAACTTAGAACTAAGGAGAAATTTCCTGACAGTGAGAACAATTCATCAGTGGAACCACTTCCCCCAGAAGTTGTGGGCGCTTCAACACTGGAGGTTTTCAAGAAGAGATTGGACAGCAATTTGTCTGAAATGGTATAAGGTCTCCTGCTTGAGCGGGGGTTTGGATTAGAACAGCGGTCACCAACTGGTGGTCCATGGACTACTGGTGGTCCACGAGAAAAGTTTGGTGGTCTGCAGAAAAATTAGTTGTATTTTTTTATATTGCACTAAATCAGGGGTCCTCAAACTATGGCCCCTGGGCCGGATATGTGCAATGAACATTTGTGTTGCTGCAGAAAGTCTCCCCCTCTGGAGTCTTTTTGTGCAGGTTGGAGGGGGGCAGAAATTCTGATGGGGCGGGGCTTTGGGCAAAGGCTGGAGGGAAGTGCTGCTGGTGGCGAAGAGCCAGAGGGCCTCGTTCCAGTGGGACTGCATCATGGCCTGGAACTGGCTGACCATCTCAGCCTGCTGAGCCTCCAGGTGCCTATACCTGGCCTTGCACTCCCGCAGGTCTTCCCTCTGCTTGGAAAGCCTATGCTCCTAGTCCTGAGTGAGGTGCTTCTGCTGAGCCTCCTTCTTGGTCAGATCCAATTTGAACTGAGCTGTTTTGCCAACTGTTTCTCATGGTGGCTGCTTAGCTCCAACAACTACTTCCTGTTGGGGCCCCAAGGAGCCCGGGTGGGCAGGCGAGGAGTGGCTGGGAGGGGAGGGGCGAGTAGAGGCCGGCGAGGCGCCCCTCGACTTGAATGACATCGAGTTGGCCACGCCCGCCCAGTCACATGACCACCTAGTCACCCCCCACCCAGCTGGTCATTAGGAAGATCGTATTAGTGGTCCGCGGGATTTAAAATTATGAATTTAGTGGTCCCTGAGATCCGAAAGGTTGGTGACACCTAGACTTCCAAGCTCCCTTCCAACTCTGTTATTCTGCTATAGTTATGCTTTCATATATGACAATGAGAATATTGTGTCTCGTTTCTAGAATTAGTGTAGGGATGTAATCATCTGCTGGGGAAATTGTGGTTCTCGGGGAAAGCAAGTCTTTTCCCCCTTTGGGCAGTGGTTTAGCTTCCTTCATGCACATCCTGTTACATAATTCCAGTCCTGTGAATCAACATTCTTGCTAGTGATGTCTATATGTGGAGAGAAAAGTATATTTCCCAATGTTTATTGCTCGTAACAAGGAACTTTAACCGAGCCCAGACAATCAGCACGTAAAAGATTATTTATTTATTATTTATTTGTTTTTGCAGGTATCGGAAGAAGAAAAAAATGGTGATCGAATTAGAAGCAGGAAATACCTTAACGAATGCCAAGGTTTGTAATGCCTCCTTTCCGACCGCAATTTGAAGCAAGGACATTTGGGTATTGTGCAACCAAAACAGAGCATCTCAAATGGGTGACTGCTCTGACAGCTGGGACTGAATAGCCCACTGTTTCTTTTCTCTCACTCATCTCTGCAACTCTATAACTTTCAGCGGTCGTCTGAAAAAATGGGAGATTCAGCTTTGAGGTCCACTAGACCAGAGCTCTCCAACCGTGGCGACTTTAAGCCTGGCGGACTTCAACTCCCAGAATTCCCCAGCCAGCAGTTGAAGTCTGCCAGGCTTAAAGTCGCCACGGTTGGAGAGTCCTGCCTTAGACCACAGAGCAAGTTTTCTTCTTCCTTCAGCATTGGCTGGGCTTCAGCTGCACTTCCCTTTAGCCAAATAGACGGCCTCACCTTTTTTTGACCTGCCATCAGGAAGTCTTGAAATGTAAGTCATTTCCCCTACAAGTTGGGGACATTGTGTTCTCACAGAGTTAACATGTTGCGTTTGGTTCTTGGCTTCGGTCCCATCTCACAAGTCCGTCTCTTGGTTGAGATGAACTTGATTTTTGCACGACGAGACTCTTCTGACTTAGGCTTCCCAAAAGCACGAAGCTGACTCCTCATTCCGATAAAACCCCTTTTATTTAGTTTAAAGGGAAATTCCTCTCCAGCAAAGTCCCGGCCAACAGTCTTTCAAGAGACGTCACAACTACAGACCTTGATCAGGCTTGGAGAGCTGCCAGGCTGATATCTTCCAAATGCTGCTCTGTTCCAGATAATACTTGGCAAGAAGTCAGGCACAGATCTTCACTCTAATGAATTGAACTAACTGTCTCCTGCAAACTCCCCTCCCTTTCACTCTTCTTTGTTCCCTATGCGAGGGGCCATTCACTATCAACCTGTGGCTTTACTCCTGAGTCCACCCTTGTTCCTTAGCTGTTCCCTTCTCCTGGCAGCTCTGTGCATGCACACATTTGGAACAGGCTCCAGCTATTCTTCTGCCCCACTGATATCCGACTCCGAAAGAAGCTGATAACTGTCAGATGGCCCCCTCTCTGCCTCTGATGCAGAGCCCTCGTCAGAGCCTTTCCCAGACTCCAGAACTGGCCCACGTTCCTCCCCAATCTCCTCACTGTCTGAGTCTGCCACCAGCTCTGCTGGCCGCTGGCAGGCCATAACAGAGACCAGCCCTGAATTGCAAGTGGCATCAGAAGAGAAAACGGTTTTATTATTGGCACCATTGCCTATGGAGATTTTTAGTCATCCGGTTATTCCAAAGGTGCTCTTTTCAAGAGGCAACTGGGCTTTCTTCGTTGATCCTTGAAGATATTTCACTTTTCATCCAAGGAGCTTCTTCAGTTCTAGTTGAATGGTGGGGAATGGAAGGATTTTATATTCCTTGCAATCGTCTGATCATTAGCACACTTTCTGAGAGTCATCGAGGCCACTTGGAGGTTTATCTGTGCCCTCAGGGTCACCTGAATTGTTGTGGCCCGCCAGCAGCCTGTGCGGATCGTGGCTGATCCCGACGATAAGGAGGCTGGTGTGGTGTCACACCAGCAGCCTGGGCAGCTGGTGCTCGCGTTGGACAGAGAGGAGGCTGAAGAGGATGTGGTGCCAGAGACAGAGACTCAGCCAGGGCCTTCAGAACCTCCAGAGATTCCTTCAAGTGGAGAGAGCGAAGTGGAGGAGCTTCTATGTCGATTAGTTTACCTATTGTGAATAGATCTCCTTCACAGAAGTGGTTCCTCCCCCCCACCCCCCTCCCCCCCATTTTATATCTCCAAAGTCAGTGGGTTTCGCTACCCATTGTGGGCAATGAGTTCCCTGAATTAATTCTTTGAACAATGAGTTATTTCTCTTGGTGCTGAATCACAATTCGTTTCATTAATTCTGTTTGCAATCAATTCCACTGAATTCTAGCATTTGAGAAAGGATTACGGGAAGAAAATCCGACTCACTAAAATCTCAATCATATCCTGGCTGAGCTTTTTCCTTCTAACTTATCAGAAATGCAGAATCTACAAGTAAACTTGATTTTGCTTATAGGAAAATTCCTGACGTAGCAATACTACATATGGATGATGAGATAAGTCCTGAATTGCAAATAGTTGCAGAAGAAAACAAGTCTCTCTATTATTGACCCAGTAGTTATAATATCAGGAGAGTCAATGGCTCGGGGAATTCTGGGAGCTGAAGTCCGCACATCTTAAAGTTGGACTGAGAAACACTGTGGTATGAACTATAGTGGTAGACTCCAACATAGTGGTAGATTCCAATATTCCTGTACTATTATTTTCTAAAAAGATTAAGACATTGCTAAAGGATCTCTCCAACATTCCTCCCTCCCTTCCAGCCATTAGCCATGTAAGTAAGAATGGCTGTAAGCTGTAGTTTAGAAACATCTGGAGAACTATTTCTGAAGTCTATCACAACTATTTATGAAGAAGTATGATTACATTTTGGTGCCTCAATAAAATGCTTTAATCTCAATATGCAGGGTATTTTTAAAAAAGTTCTGGATGATAAATGTCAAAAATTGAATTTTGGAAGGGAGGGAAATGAAACGTTCAGTCCATCCGAGTTCAGACAGAGTTCTTTTTAATATGAAATGTTATCGCCCAAACAAGCTTAAGCAATCTTTATTTTTATTTTCCAGTTTGCAGAACTGGTTTCCTTAGGCTTCTCTGTTTCTGCAGATTCTTCTTATTTTGCTCCTGCTTATTCTCTTCTTTTTTAAAAAAACCCAACAATAACTGCAACCTGGTTTGCAGTAGACTTGTAAAATTAGCTCAAATTTTAAGTGGTGTGTTAATGGTGGCGGATTCTCCTTCCACTTGTTGGAAGGAACATCCTTCTAGGTTCTGCTCCAAGTGGGGAAACAGACACTGGAAACATGGAGACTGCTTGGAAAGATGATTTAATGGTGGACAGGATCATATGGCTTTGAGTTCCTGAACAGAAAAAGGGGGCAGATACAGTAAATCCTCGGGTTTTTATGCTCTTTCTGGCTCTGCATTTCTTGGGGCCCTGAAAGAGTATCCTGATTGGTTGTCAGACTCCCGGGGGGGTGGGGGCCTTGCTGGCTGATGGCCACATGTGCTTCCCAGGTCACATGTGGTGAGTTTCTGCTGCTATTGTGTAGAGGGCTAATCCTATCTTTGTTGGATCTTTGGCAATTCCTACTATGGCTCTGCCTGAAGAAGGCAGATCTTTGTTATGTAGAATAGACTGGCCCAGGCCTTAATGGCCCATTGACAAAGGGTGGGGGCAGGAAGGTGGGAGCTGCTTTGTCTGTAAAATATGCTTCTCCATTTCTCATCCAGGGAAATATAATATTCTGCCTTTTTCACATTTCCCAAAATATTTCACTCTTCCAAGAAAGGGGTGGGTGCTAACTTCCTACATACTCAACTCCTCTCTTCCAACAGAAACCCAACACTTCGGACCTCGCTCCTCAGGATGTGAATGGCGTCCCTCCCAAACCAAGAACCACCCATGAATCCATGGATGGAGATCCCGGAGACCCTGAAGAAATCCATTATGCGACTCTTTCCTTCAAAGCGCCAAATCCTCAGCCAGATATAACTGCAGAAGAAGTCCAGACGGATTATGCTGAAATCAGACCTTGCAATTTGCAGGGGAAAGAAGCATGAAGGTTTTAAGGGAATTCCTCTTTTTCTGGATTAGCAGCCGAGTCCTGGGAAGTTGCCAGCTCCTGTTTAGACTCCAGCACCTTCTCTTGACTCTCTTTCTGTATCCTCTTTGGAGAGAGGAACTGCCTATCCAGCGGTTAAGCCCCGAAACAGCACAGCAGGACCAGGGAAGCAAAACTTCCAAACTTGGAATTTCATCAAGCAAGTTTAATATCAAGAAATAAAGGGCTGAGATAATGACTCTAGTAAAACTGAATGCATAAAACTGAATGCATAAAACTATTCCGCATTTATGAATGGGGTCCTTGAGAGTTTCTTAGATCCTTCCCCGCTCCCCAACAATGCAAAATTGAAAGGTTAAATGCTCCCCCCCACCAGAGTGTCAGGTTTCGATGTCATCTCAAATAAATTGCACTCCCAAACAATTAATCTTTGCTGAAATATTCCATTTATTGAGTACGACAGATCTGGCCCCGACTTTGTCGTAGCTGATACTAACCCTCTGACCCCCAAACCCTTCCCTTTCCATTCCCCAATTCTCATCTTCTCATTGGCCATCTTCCAAATCAGTCTCCCCAGTTTCTGACCTCAATCCACAGGAATGTCCCCCTCCCATCCCATCTCCTAGGGGATATTATCTACAGAGAAAATAAGTAGGTGAAAAGTCAAGCCTCGTCTCCTCCTTTTTATGGCAGCATCAGAATGCTGACACAGAGTATCTTGGCGCTCAGATACTCATCTGCTCATTGTTTCTGATGTTTGAAATACGCCCCCTCCTTCTGGGCCAGTGGTGGGTTGCTACCGGTATGCAGTAGTTTGCACGAACTGGTAGCACTGACGATCATCTGGTAGCGAACCGGTTCCTCCTAACGTTCAGATTAGCCCACCTGCCTGCCTGGGCTCCTTTTTTACCTTTATCTTCTCAGCTGATTAGCACGGTAGAGTGGATTGCTGCACGAATCAGCTGTGCTCTCCCCAGTAAAAACGCGGAAGTGCAAAGTTTTTGCAAACTGCACCCGTGCAAAGCACGAAGCGCGCAATCAGTGAACTGGTAGTAAAACCGGGAGGAACCCACCACTGTTCCAGGCTTCAGTGCCGTTCTCTTATTAAAGTGCTTCAATCCAGCAGTTTCACATGAGATTACCCACTTGAGAATCAGGGGCCTTCTATCCACTTTAAAGCGGCCAAGTGTTCCCAGGAAGAGATGCAGCTGCTTTAAAGAGCTACGTTCCCATTTCTGTGCCCTCTGAAGCCCCTTTTAAAGACTGAATTCAGCCTTAAAGGAAAAAATAGGTAAAAGATGCTTCGAACTGCACCGAGGTGGACTGCAGCACTGCAGGCTACTTCAGCTGACTGCTAGCTGCAATACGGCAGTTCAAATCTCACCGGCTCAAGGTTGATTCAGCCTTCCATCCTTCCGAGGTGCGTAGCATGAGGACCCAGATTGTTGGGGGCCATAGGCTGACTCTGTAAACCACTTAGAGAGGGCTGTAAAAAGCACTATGAAGTGGTATTTAAGTGCTATTGTTATTGTTATATAAATTTAATAAATAAAGAAATCATACCAACGATGCCTATTGAACATCAGAAGACTAGATCTGGTCTATGACTTCCAAGGAAGAAACTGCACACTGAAGATGGTTCTGTTAAAAGTAGATGCTTACCAGTGGTGGGTTTTAAAATTTTTTACTACCGGTTCTGTGGGTGTGGCTTGGTAGGTGTGCCATGGCTTGGTGGGCATGACTTGGTGGGCATGGCAGGGGAAGGATACTGCAAAATCCCCATTTCCTCCCAATCAGCTGGGACTCGGGAGGCAGAGAATAGATGGGGGCGGGGCCAGTCAGAATTTTTACTACCGGTTCTCCAAACTACTCAAAATTTCCACTACCGGTTCTCCAGAACTGGTCAGAACCTGCTGAAACCCACCTCTGATGCTTACGCGTGTATACCAGTGGTGGGTTCCTCCCGGTTCAGTCTGGTTCAGCTGAGCTGGTAGCGATGACGATATGACATCACCAAACTGGTTCTCCCCCCCGCCCACCCGCCCCCCACCCCCCACGTTATTCTTACCTTTTATTTGGTCCCACCCCCAATCTATTGCTGCCTCCTGAGTCCCAGCTGATGACTAGAGGGAAAAAAACTGTTTAAACTCTTGCCGCAGGGCTTCAAAGGGCCGTCCTACAGCTGATCAGTGTTAAAAGCAAACAAATGAGTCGGGTCGTAAGTGCGAGGACTGGCCGTAAGTGCGAGGACCTTCCAGAAATGACTCTGACCAGCTAGCCACGCCCACCTAGTCACATGACCTCCAAGCCACACCCACAAAATAAGCCACGCCCACAGAACCGGTAGTAAAAAAAAATTGGAATCTACCCCTGGTGTATACCTAAGAGTTTTCCAAACCAGACCCTTTAAAGACATGTAGAACTTCAACTCCCAGAATTCCCCAGCCAGCTATGCTCATGTTTGGACTTCAAATTGCCAAGGTTGGGAAACCCTGGTACAGAGAAGTACAGATGCTTAAAGTTCCCTGAAGCACTCAGCGCACTGCGGTATTGGGTAACAAGGAAGAGAAGGATAGCAGAAATGCTTCTGCACACCACTTCCTTTTCGGGCAGCAGAAGGCTCGTGATGATGCACTTATTTGCCACAAATTTCTATGAACCACACTTAGTGTGAAATCTCTGGGAGCAAAACCGTCCCCCCCCCAAGTCTGAAGAACGAATTCTCACCTCTTCCTGAAAATAACAGCCGCTTGCTTCTTAGATACAGATACAGATTAACAGAGTTGGAAGGGACCTTGTAGGTCATCTAGCCCAACCCCCTACCCAAGCAGGAGACCCTACACCATTTCTGACAAATGGCAGTCCAATCTCTTCTTGAAAGTCTCCAGTGATGAAGCTCCCACAACTTCTGAAGCCATTGGTTGATTGCTCTCACTTCTGACACTCCAGGTCGTAAAATGGGGGAAAACTCACTTAACAAACATTTCACTTAGCAACATAAATATGAACCAGTTGCTAAGCCTTTGAATTTTGTTCATGTGACCACGGGGATGCTTCAATGGTCGTAAGTGTGAACAGTCACTAAACAAATATAAGTCAAAGACTACCTAGTCATAAGTGACTTTCTTCAGTTCCGTTGTAACTTCAAACAGTCACTAAACAAATATAAATCAAAGACTACCTATACACTCTCTGTCTCTGTCTCTTTCTCTCTGTCTCTCTGTCTCTCTGTCTGTCTCTGCGTCTGTCTCTGTCTGTCTCTGTCTCTCTGTCTCTCTGTCTCTCTCTGTCTCTCTCTCTGTCTGTCTCTGTCTGTTTGTCTGTCTCTCTCTCTGTCTGTCTCTGTCTGTTTGTCTGTCTCTCTGTCTCTCTCTGTCTGTCTTTCTACTCATCCTTCCCCAGCTTAAAAAAAATTATTTGAAGCATGATGGTGCCTAGTTTACCTGATTTTAAACAAGCTAAGTAAGATAAAACTTAGATGGGAAACCAAGGAATTTCAGAACTTGAGGCTAGCCTGGGAAATAGGGCAGGAACTTGAAAAATAATTTGTCTATTTCATATTCAATCTTACAATTTATTTATTTATTTATTTATTAATTAAATTTCTATACCGCCCTTCTCCAAATAGGACTCAGGGCAGTGCACAGCCTAAGTAAAAACAGAGCATACAAAATTTAAAAAACAGTATTAAAATAATTAAATATTTTGGCCGTAATTAAAACAACCCAATTTAAAATCAATTTAAAATTTACCTCAAGCCAGCCACAATGTCCGAAACCCTACATTTTTTGTGCTTTAAATATTCCTAATAACTATGAAACTATGAAACAGCGTTCTGTGCGCCTTTGGCATTTAGTCATGCCAGCCGCATGACCATGAAGACATCTTTGGACAGCGCTGGCTCTTCGGCTTTGAAACGGAGATGAGCACCACCCCCTAAAGTCGGGAACGGCTAGCACATATGTACGAGATGAACCTTTATCTTTATGGAGAGTCTATGTCTATGGAGTCTATGGAGATTGTCGTCATCCAGGTCATCCTTGTCCCAAAGGGGCTTTTTCAAGAGCCCACCGGACTTTCAAGACAACTGGACTTTCAAGGAAAAAACCACAAAATCCAGTTGCCTCTTGAAAAAGCCCCTTTGGGAATCCCTTCTAAGGAGTCAAAGCAGGGAATCATCCAGCAGATGGCGCTCTACACAAGTTTATGAAATCCTGAGCCTACAACTATAGTGGCTATATTTTTTCCCCATCCCCTCTCCCCCTCTCCCACTTTGCTCCCCTCTGTGCGTGCCTGAAGCCAGTTTGCCAATCTATAAATGTTTCATACCAAGAGCGTGTTGGAAAGCATTTGATAGGAGTGTGTGGAGTGCCTGAAGATCTAGGCACCGAGTGAGCCCCGGGCTTCGACTTTTGTCTGAGTGTTCATTTTCTTCCTTTAAAAAAAATAAAATAAAAATGTGGAGGCCAAAAGCGTTTTAAACCTTCATGCTGCTCTTATAATATGAATGAAACTTTTCAAATTTGTTTGGAATTCCAGAGCTCAGCTGTTTTATTAAGCTACATAAAGTATTCATCAGAAGTTGTTGCAATATTTTCAGGATCAGACTCAATAAAGATAATAGAAGATTCTCAGTCATCCAGGTCGTGGCTGTCCCAAAGGTGCTTTTTCAAGAGGCAACTGGACTTTCTGGTTTTTCTTTGAAGACGTTTCGCTTCTCCTCCAAGAAGCTTCTTCAGCTCTTTTTTTTTTTTTTTTAATTTGATTTATATGCCGCCCTTCTCCGGAGACTCAGGGCGGTTTACAATGCGTTAAGCAATAGCCTTCATTCTTTTGTATATTTTATACAAAGTCACCTTATTGTCCCCACAAACTGGGTCCTCATTTCACCTACCTTAGAAAGGATGGAAGGCTGAGTCAACCTTGAGCCTTGGAGAGATTCGAACCAGCAGAAATTGCAGGCAGCTGTGTTAATGACAGGGTGCACTAAACCACTGTACTATCAAGGCTCTTGAGCTGAGCTTCTTCAGAGCTAAAAAAGCTTCTTGGATGAGAAGCGAAATGTCTTCAAAGAAAAACCAGAAAGTCCAATTGCCTCTTGAAAAAGCACCTTTGGGATAATATTTATAGCTCAGGATTGAAATGAGGAATCCTTGGTGCTCTCCGAGCACAATTGTTTTCTTGCGGACATTTATTACCCAAACTAGGTAACGCCATCAATGCTTAGCAGTGATGATGTTACTAGTTTGAGTAATGAAACATCTGCAAGAAGACAAGCAAGCTCAGAGAGCACCAAGGACCCCTCAAATTGTACTTTTCTTCTAGAATTCCCATGGAGCACACTTATCATGCTACGTTATGCTACTTCCTGACGGGCCACTCACAAGAAGTTCACGTAGGGATTCTTCTAGAACAGGGGTGTCAAACTCAATTTCATTGAGGGCCCCATCAGGTTTGTGTTTGACTTTGGGGTGGGCGTGGCCGGGATGGTGTGGCCAGTTTGACGTCACTTGTGTCAGGGGCACCTGTGGTGGCCCAGGAAGACCTGGTAAGGCAGGACTTCCTCAGACCTTCCCTCCCCCAATTATAAACTTCCTTCCTTCCTTCCTTCCTTCCTTCCTTCCTTCCTTCCTTCCTTCCTTCCTTCCTTCCTTCCTTCCTTCCTTCCTCCCTCCCTCCCTCCCTCCCTCCCTCCCTCCCTCCCTCCCTTTTCTTCTTTTCCTTCCCTCTTCATTCTCCTTTCTTCTTTCCCTCTTTCCTTATTTTTCCTTCCTTGCTCTCTTTCCATCTTTCCTCCTATTTCTTTGTCTTTCCTCTTTCCCTTTCTCTTTTTCTGTCTCTTCTTGGATGCTCAAATGCAAAAGGGGAAACATTTCTCGTTTTGTTTTGAGTTAGATTTGCTAGCCCCCTGGGCCCCATTTTTGCTGGTAGACGCCCCGCAGGCTGGCCCTTCGCTGTTTCCAGGGCAGCTCCGCGGACTAGATCTAAACACTGTCAAGCTTCAAGTAATACGTCCTCTGAAATAAAAACCAAGGCGTCCATTTTTCTTTAAAGTCTATTTGTTAGGATCATATCAAATTGGCAAGGACTTGGTGTAATTCCGACTCTGGCTAGATTCCGTATTTACACCCAGTAAAAAAGCAAAAGTTTGAAACTTCTCCCCAGAGTCACGATCTCCAATCTATTCTCAGCCCATCAGCCCGGTGACTCCAAACTCCACCTTCCTCCAGCTGCAGGCATCTTCTCTGTTCCCACGGGAAAGGATGCCATCTAGACATAACATTCCCCCTTTATCTCTATAACCCCCACCCCCCTTTTCAACAGCTAGAGTGTGGCGAGCCTGAAATACTGTTAAATTCCTTTGTAGAAAGCCTAAAGAAAGCTAAGAAAAGAATAGACAAAAGCTACAATAAAATGTGGCTACACATACAGTACGTCATCTTCAGGGTCGACAAACACCACGCAGGCCGAATCTGACCCGCGGGCCTTGAGTTTGACACCACTGTTCTAGAAGGATTGAAATCACAGACTGATGTTGCTTGCTGGATCAGCCAAGCAATCCAGGGTGATAATGTCACTGTTGGCGTTCATTGTTCTGCAGAATCAATAAATGTGATAGAATATCCCTGAACAATTTATCAGTGAATTATCAGTCAGGCGTTTGGAGCTCGTCCTGTTTTCATACATAATTCCTCAGAGAGCGGGCATTAACTCCATTATGCATCTTTGCTTGGGAGAGTTTTGAGAGGAGAGAAGTTGAGAACCAGCCTGTGTGTTAATAAGAAACTGTTCCTTTTTCCTTCAGGAAGAAGTGGGTGTCCATTTCACGAAGGAGGAATGGGCTCTTCTGGATTCCAGGCAAAGAACTCTGCATGGAGAGGTCATGATGGAGACATCAAGGATCTTAGCCTGTCTCAGTAAGAGGCTCTCTGGGTTTTTGTTCCAGGTTGAAGAATATAAATCTCTCTCTAGAAACAACCAGCCTGTCAATTCTTCCCAAGAAATTCCTAATCCAGTTTTCTTGACTGGAAGAAACAGAAGAAAACTCTTTAACATGATGGCACCCCTAGCACAGATCCACATCAACTTCAGGGAAGCTCAAGGAAGAACGTGTGGCTTTTCCCAAATTATTCTGGGAGGATGGACAGTTCTCTGATCATCATTTCCTTAAATAATTTTGCTGATTGCTCTTTATATCACCTCCTTGTCATCAAAATGATACTGATAGAATCCAGAAAATTTTATCAAGTAGTTTTCACTAAGATTTCCAGAAATAGGATTTGTGTGTTTCTGTGCGATGGTTTCCAACATAATTTAATTTAACCTTAATTTTATCATTTATTTATTTATTTATTTATTTTAATTTGATTTATATGCTGCCCTTCTCCGGAGACTCAGGGCGGCTTACAATGTGCTAAGCAATAGCCTTCATTCTTTTGTATATTTATACAAAGTCAGCTTATTGCCCCCACAAACTGGGTCCTCAATTTACCTACCTTAGAAAGGATGGAAGGCTGAGTCAACCTTGAGCCTTGGCGAGATTCGAACCTGCAGTAATTGCAGGCAGCTGTTCTTAATAACAGGGTGCTTTAGACCACTGTACTACCAAGGCTCATCCATTAATCTAACCATAACTTTATCATTCATTTATTTCATCCCCTTAATCTAACCTTAAATTTATCATTCATTTATTCTTTCATCCATTAATCTAACTTTTATCATTCATATATTCTTTCACCCATTAATCTAGCCTTAACTTTATCATTCATTTATTGTTTCATCCACTTCATAATTGAATAGTAAAGTTTCCATTTGGTTTTTTTTTTATTTGTTAATTCTTGTGCCTAGTAAATGGTTGCTAAAAAGTCACCCCAAAATAAAAAATAATCTTAGTTTCATCCAGGTACACAGAGATGAAAGGAAACTGCAGAGATGGTGGAATTCAAAGTTGGTTCCTTAAATACAATAGTCTAATTTTTTTTCTTCACTTTTTCTCTCATGCAGGAGCTGAACAAGGGATAAAGAGCTATAAGGAGCCACATCTGGCACCAGAGCCAACCAGCAAAAATGAAATGGCTGAAGAGACATTTTGCAGTCAATCGAAACTAACGAGAAATGAGGGAAACCATCTAAAATACAGGGAAGAGAAAGCTTCTGCTCCTCCTGCTGTAATCCAAAACTTACAAATCCAGTCAGATTCGAAAGGAGAAAGAACAGAAAAGTGTCAGTTCTGTGGGGAAAGAATAATGGATAAAACAGATTCGTGTAAACGTTGTGGCACCCAGAATAAAATGGCACAAAATGGAGGCACAGGTTCCAGAAGGTATGACAGTCGGCCCAACCCCATGACTGTCACTTACTATATAGGAGAGAAACCGTATCACTGCACGGAGTGCGGAAAGAGCTTCCGTCAGAACTATCACCTCAGTTACCACAAACGAACCCCCACAGGGGAGAAACCCTATAAATGCAGTGAATGTGGGAGAGGATTCGCGCTCAGCGGTGCCCTGACTACCCATAAAAGGACCCACACAGGAGAGAAACCTTATAAATGCCTGGAGTGTGGAAAGAGCTTCTGCAGGAACAGTTCCCTGATTTCCCATAAAAAGATCCACAAAGAGGAGAAACCGTGTTAATGTTAAGAAGCAAGGAAAGAGCTTCATCGTTCTACTGGACTTATTTCCTGGAAAAGGATCCATGTGATGATCCGGGGCACGGCAGCTGACAGTTCAAACCGCCTCTTTATTGCTCCTTTCCCCCAAACGCTCCCATGTTTCTGGCAGGTCCCAGAGCAAAGTGATAACACCCACACATATACCTCCAGCAGCTTCTGGCAGCAAATAGTCCAGTACAATGCTGTGAGCACAATGGCTGCAAAGCGGAGAAATCCAGCAGGGCAAGAAAGTAACTCAAGGAGGGGAGCAAAGAACAAGGCAATTAATCCAAGAATCGTCCAACTTCGGCAACAGCACACAACACTCAATGAATTCAGCATTTGTTCCCGACAAATGCCCTCCCCCCACAGTGTCTCCTTAAAGGCTCAGTCCCCAGGTGTGCCTTGTAAAGAGGGGCAGGGCACTCTCCTCCCAAGTCATCGGGTCAGCCTGCGCTGTTCCCGCCTTCTCTCCTCTCTCCGTGCTCGAGGATCAGGAGGGGGTGGTCCTTGCTCATCACCTGAGCTCTGTCTCTCATGTTCACTGTTTAGCCTCTCTTGTTCATCCTGCCCCTGTTCCTGCCTGCAAGCCATCCCAATCCTGAAAAGCCCTGGCCTGACTGGGCCTGCTCCTCCCACCTTCTTCCAAAGCCAACGACGACGCCCCCTCGATCTCTATTGGCTCCAGTTCCAGTTCGTCTTCCTCCTCAGTTTCAGGCTCCGACGGGGGCATGACAACCCATTCAAGCGAACGTACATCAGTCAAAAGTGCATCATTTTCTCCCAGCTGTTTTTTAACCTCCACGCTCCAAAATGTGAGAAGACCAATGCAAAAGTCTAAAGTTGATGAAATAACGATTACTTATAGACTTATATACCGCTTCACAGTGCTTTACAGCAGGGATCCCCAGCCCCTGATTCATGGACTGCCACTGGTCCGAGCATGCCAGGTACCGGGCCACGCAAACAAGCAAAGCCCCATCCGTGGGATGCAGGCAGCACAGGAAACCACGCCCCGTCTGGTCCACAGAAAAACCTCTCTCCATGGAACTGGTCCCTGGCGGTTGGAGGCCACTGTTTAACAGCCCTCCCTACGATCCTCAATTTAGGACCATAATTGAACCAGTTATTAAGCAGGTCACCGCCTGATTTAACCAACAGTTTTTGCGGTGATTTAACAAACAAGCCTATTATACCTTTTTTCTTTTTTTTGCTGGAAACCAGAAATAAACATTGGTCATAAATCACAGTCACAGTCAGGTAACCATGGGAAATTAGAAATTAGACTGGCCACTCCCTCCCCACTCTGATACCCTTTTGTAAGGCTCTGAAGATTTGGTTGCACAACCAACCTCTTCTTTTTCCTCGGCCTCACCCCTAGTTTAAATCCTATAGTCCTGGCACTCGTGCATCTGATGAAGTGAGCTGCAGTTTTTTAATATGCTAGATTTCTTCTTCTTCTTCTTCTTCTTCTTCTTCTTCTTCTTCTTCTTCTTCTTCTTCTTCTTCTTCTTCTTCTTCTTCTTCTTCTTCTTCTTCTTCTTCTTCTTCTTCTTCTTCTTCTTCTTTTCTTCTTCTTCTTCTTCTTCTTCTTCTCTCCTCCTCCTCCTCCTCCTCCTCCTCCTCCTCCTCCTCCTCCTCCTCCCTCCTCCTCCTCCTCCTCCTCCTCCCTTTTCTTCTTCTTCCTCCTCCTCCATCCTCCTCCTTTTCCTTCCTTTCATCTTTCTTTCTGTGCTATCCTGGAGTAATATAACTCTCAAAAAAGATATACAGGTCTTCCTTCATTAATTTTTTAAAGGGCCAACAACTGCTCTGGAATCATTTGACAGAAGGCGCTCGGAGCAGCCACAAGCTGAAATTTATTTGAGGGAAAAGAAAGATCTTCAGTTGATAATAACATCTCCATAACATGCTACAAGTAGAACTAATTGAGAGCAGTGCTTAATTATTAACAGCCTGGTTAGAAACACAGCCTGAGGGAACTGACATTTCCAGCTATCTACTTTTTCTTTCTGTCTTGATCTTTACGATGAGGTGCAAATTTTCCCTTTTGGTTTATAAAATCAAGCTTTTATTTAGATCTGATTATACATATGATGAAGGGACACGGTGGCTCAGTGGTTAAGATTCTGAGCTTGTCGATTGAAAGGTCGGCAGTTCAGCGGATCGAATCCCTAGTGCTGCGTAACGGGGTGAGCTCCTGTTACTTGTCCCAGCTTCTGCCAACCTAGCAGTTCAAAAGCATGTAAAAAATGCAAGTAGAAAAATAGGGACCACCTTTTTTGGTGGGAAGGTAACAGCGTTCCGTGTGCCTTTGGCGTTTAGTCATGCCGGCCACATGGACCATGGAGACGACTTTGGACAGCGCTGGCTTTTTGGCTTTGAAATGGAGATGAGCCGCCCCCTAGAGTCAGGAACGACTAGCATATATGTGCGAGGGGAACCTTTGCCTTTACCTTTTATGCATACTATGATGTCTTGTGTCTTCTCAGCACTACCAGCTGTGGTCTGAAGGCCTTTCTTTGCCTTTTTGCCTTTTCCACTGTTCAATTTCTAATTTTGTTTTAATGCTGTTATTTTAACATTTTAACCATGCCTTTTCATATGATTGTATAACTTTATTTGTAAAGTGCACAGAGTCACACAGGTAAGATGGGCCATGTTGAAAGTGGTAAATAAATTTTTAAAAACCACTACTCCAAACTGGCTGTCTTGTCCTCATTGTTATTTTGGCACAATGAGGGTTGGATAATTCCAGAAAACACTATACAGGAGGTCCTCAGCTTACGACCACAATTGAGCCAAAATTTTGTGTTACTATATGAGATATTTGCTAAGTGAGTTTTCCCCCGTTTTACAACTATTCTTGTCACCGTTCTTAAGTGAATCACTGCAGTTGTTAAGTTAGTAATACGATTGTTAAGCGAATCTGGTTTCCCCACTGACTTGCTTGTCAGAAGGTCGCAAAAGGGATCAGGTGATCCCAAGACACTGCAACCATCTGTGGTTTCCAAGCATCTGAATTTTGATCACATGGCCATGGAAACACTGCAACAGTTGTAAAGTGTGAAAAATTGGTCATACGTCACTTTTTTCAGTGCCATTGTAACTTTGAATGGTCCCTAAATGAATTGTTGTAAATCGAGGAAAACCTGTACATTACTGGGATGAAAATTCCTATAAAATTTCAGCCATCATCATGCTGATCACTCTGTTGGAAAAAAAAAATCCGGTCCAGTTGCAAGCCAGGAGAAAGACGCAGGAGCCAATGAATTTGGAGGCCAGCTGTAGGAAAGGAGGTTCTCCATTTATTTAGGAATCAGAAGTGAAGTAACTCAGCATCAGTTCTGGAACAGCTGACAGTCTGGCATGGGGAGTAGAGTAATTTTTTATACCTGTTGGAAGAAAAATGCAATCCGGTTCCAAACCGAGAGAAAAAATGCTGGAAATAAAACGGAGGATGGCTACGAGGAAAGAAGATCTCTGTTATTTGTTTATCAAAAACCTCTGTGACAGCAGCACATTTCTGGGGTGGCTGACAAAATGGCTGAGTGAGTGGATGGATCTTTATAGGGTTCTGGGATTTGACGATTGAGATGCTCCAGGGGTTGTGCAATGTATTGAGCAACCCACCACTGCCTATTTGGTTTCCTGGGTGGTGGTCAGGGTTAAGGACAGCCTTGGGGAAAGGCAGGGAATGTACCGTAAATACAGGGACTACTTTTAGCTTCTATGGATGGTTTTCCTTTGCCTTCTCTGGGGGCATGGAAATAGAGATGGGTGGGGCGGGGTGCCTTATGATTCTTCCAACAAGTCCTAGTTGAAAAACATTATTAAGAAGGCAGATTATAGCAATACAGCTGCAATTTGTTCTTCAAACTAACTTATGTCTTAACAAAACACATGAATGAAAAACGGGGTTTTCCTAGTGTAGGAAGTTAGCACCCACCCTTTCCTGGAAGAGTGAAATATTTTAGGAAATATGAAAAAGGCAGAATATTATATTTCCCTGGATGAGAAATGGAGAAGCATGTTTTGAAGCAGCTCCCATCTTCCTGCCCGCACCCTTTGTCAATGGGCCATTAAGGCTTGGGCCGGTCTATTCTACATAACAAAGATCTACCTCCTTCAGGCAGAGCCATAGTAGGAATTGCCAAAGATCCAACAAAGATAGGATTAGCCCTCTACACAATAGCAGCAGAAACTCACCACATGTGACCTGGGAAGCACATGTGACCATCAGCCAGCAAGGCTAGCTAAGAACCCCCCCCTGGGAGTCTGACAACCAATCAGGATACTCTTTCGGGGCCACAAGAAATGCAAAGCCAGAAAGAGCATAAAAACCCGTGGACTCACTGTATTCCTCCCTTTTCTGTTCAGGAACTGAAGCCATGTGATCCTGTCCACCATTAAACCATCTTTCCAAGCAGTCTCCATGTTTCCAGTGTCTTTTTCCCCACTTGGAGCAGAACCTAGAAGGAGATTTCTTCCAACACTAGCTATAGTATAATAATATCCATGGAGGCCTCCTCCATTGCCCACATTGGTTTGCTTAAAGCAGGAGTCAGCTGTTGTGGAGATGGAAATTAAGAAACATCCCGATAGGGCAGACAGAATCAGTTTAATTATTTATTGCAATAAAGGATCAGATCCTGATAGAACTATCAAGTGTCTGAACGCCATATGATTATCAACTCAGAACTTTTATACAGTTTCAAACAAAGGATTCTGTGGAGTCAGCAATTCATATGGTCCTATACATTTATCATTTTTAATTGACATTTCCTAATTACTGAGTTTGCAGAACAGTTATAATAATTCTTCTAAAAAGTTACGGAAGCATAATTTTCAAATTATCTCTTGTTGAAACAACAATGTGGACATCTCTGTTACTTTGACCTCCAATTATTATTATTATTATTATTATTATTATTATTATTATTATTATTATTCGATTTGATTTATATGCCGCCCTTCTCCGGAGACTCAGGGCAGCTTACAATGCGTTAAGCAATAGCCTTCATACTTTTGTATATTTTATACAAAGTCAGCTTATTGTCCCCACAAACTGGGTCCTCAATTTACCTACCTTAGAAAGGACGGAAGGCTGAGTCAACCTTGAGCCTGGTGAGATTTGAACCTGCAGT